ACATTTTTTAAGAAGATATTCAAACTAATAGTATCACATGCTGGGACAAAACTCAGAATGTCAGAAAGTGATTCCAAAAGAAATAAGGACCGAATAAATGATTCCCGTTCTAAATATCATTAGGAGATAATCGAATAGCTTGTTTTCTGGATAACCATAACAACAACCCAGATTTCAGAGACTAGTAAAATGATTCAATCAAGTTCAAAGTGCCAAACTTCAACTCAATTACAATTAAGAGAGTGATTAAGCTACTAATCACGTAAACCCGGAATAGAACAAGCATAAATTTTCAAGGATAAAAATTTACTAACCTCTTCTACCGATTACGCTCAGCAGGCAGCGGGCGGTTAAAGCCTCCCCTGCGGTTCATATACTGTCTTGGTTGGCGCTTCGTCACTGCCCTAACCCCACTAACGTCGGCACCCGGAACGGGCTTCCCTTTGGTAGAATCGAACCCAACGGGGATCCCCATTTTCTTCATCATCTCAATTTCATCCTCATCCATCAACTCCTCCTCCCCCCCAACACCATTACCATTGCTGGCGTTATTCTCCTTCTTTTGCTGCTGCTCTTTCGCAATCTCGTCCACGAAATCAGAAACCGCCTTCTTCCGGTCCTTATCCTTCTCGTCCTCAGCGGACTCGTGTCGATGCCGCTTGCGCGGTGGCTCCGGAGACGGAGTCCAGTACCGGTGATGACGATAAGAGCGGTCTCTGTCGCGGTCGGGAGAGCGAGAGCGTGAGCGGTAGCGGTCGGGAGAGCGCGTGCGGGAGCGTGTGTAGCGGGACCGGTGGTGGTCAGGAGTGCGGGATCTCTTGCTTCGGGTCCTCTCCCTGTCTCTGTCCCGGTCTCTTTCTCTGTCTCGATCTCGTTCTCTCTCTCGCTCCCGGTCCCAGTCGCGCTCGTCTTTGTCTCGTCGTCTCTCCCTCTCTCGGTCTCGGTCGCGTTCCCTTTCTCGGTCACGGTCCCGGTACCTATCGCGGTCTGTCATAGTGCTGCGGAATGGAGACGGGAAGCCCGAACGGCCAACGGCGGGAGTGGCGCTGGGGTTTGTTGAGGTTCTTCGAGGGGGGAGGGGGAAGCAGGGAAGCACCTCAACTGCGGACTGTAGCCCCTACTCCGGTTCAAATCTAAACCGTTTTCATTGTCTCAATTTTTTAATTTTTAATTTTTATAACAATTTATATGTGTGTTTAAATTGAAATTTTAAAATAATTTTATTTAATAAATTATGAAGTGAAAATAATTATGTTACAAATAACTTGTTATAAAAATATAAATTTTTTAGTTTTTAAAATACTGTGTCAAGCATAAAGCAAAGTGGTTTCAACTAAAAGGCCTTGGACTTTATGTTGGGGGGTGACCCATTAATCTGGAAACCAAAGAGGCCCAATTACTCCAATGAAATTGAATTCTAAACCCAACTTAAATTTATTATGCTCTCCGACGCTGTAATACATTTACCAAATCTACACTTATTTTAATTATAAAAAAATATATATATACATATATATAAATTCATTGTAAAAATTGATATTTGGATAAGTTTATGTTGAATTAAGACTATATTTTAAATAAAGTCCACTACCCTAAAAATACAAGAAGATGTTAAAAAAAATTTAAGTTAGAAGATTCTATAAATATAATTTAGATGATTTCTAAAATATTGTCTCATTCCAATGTACTTGAATATTCAACAGAATTTTCTTGAATATATATCAGTAAATTTCATATTAAATAATTTTTATATATACTTATTATATTTTATTTATAATTTAATTTTAATTAAAATAATTTTGTTAATAATCTATATATATATATATAAGATTATAATAATTTTGCTAAGTAGCTAAAATAAAAAAGATAGATTATAATATATAATCCTATACACACTTCAAAATATACCCATCGGTATCATCACTCTATAATTCTTCACAAAACAATTAATAAATATAAATTGAATTCACAACTTTATATATATATATATATATATATTTTTTTTAATCTCTAATTTGGTAAAAATGTGTGGAGTAACAGAGTTGGTAATTATTTAAAATAAAATAAAATAAAAAGATTTGTTGGTGTGAAATAAATATTTTATTTCCTTAAAAGAAGAAACAGTTTGGTATATAAATTGATGCAAATTTTGGGCTTTGCTCTTCTGACAAGCACTGGGCCCTAAAACATTGCTGGTTGCACCTTCCCAAAACTGCAAAGCATGTTCAGACCTTCTCAGCCAATCACATTCCTTCAATTAAATACCAACAACTTGAGTCAAATTATCATTATTTTTAAAAATATTATATTTTATTATAATTAATATGTGTATAATACTTAATTATGAATATATAAATGCACTATAAAATTATTTTTTTTACAAAAAAAAAATAAATTATATTATTATAAATAAAATATTTAATTGTAAGTACATGAATAAATTATATATAATAAATTTTAACCAACACAAGAATAGAATTTGTAAGGAAATGGGAAGTAAATACAAATATGTTATCGTTACAAACATTTTTTATTTGGCTTATAATTTTATATAAAAATAAGTTTCAAACAAAAATAATTAATTAATTAATTAATTAACTCATGTCGGTTTTAACATTTCTTATGGTTTTATTAGTTAAAAATTAATATGATTAATCCCACAATTCTCAACACGTTGAATAATGGAATTAGATATATGAAATTTAAGTCTTAGTTTTTTAGATAATGTGATATATATAATATATAAACACACATGTGTATTTTCATGCATATTTTTAGAAATCTATGGCTTAGATATTTGTTTGAATCATTTAAATATCATATGTTGCATTGATTTTATTAGAGGAATGAGAATCAAATTAAAATTAAATGGATTTTAACATGTCTAATATTTTGAGTGATATGTGAATATACGTTTAAATATTAATAATATTTATTATGAAGTAAATAAAAAAAAAAATCATCAGAATTTTTTAGAGTATGTTTTAAATTATACAATATAATTAATAGCTAAGTTTATGAAAATAATACAAAAATTAATTTGTTAATAACATAACACAACTCATAAATTTTATATAAATTGAAGACTTTGATTTCTTCCAAACACGTCTCCTGATCTCATCCGGTTGATTTAATCAAGCAATTGAAACAGAGCTACAATTAAATTTATTTTCTTAAAATTTATTTTTCAAATATGATAATTTCAATTAACTAATTATGTAAAACATTTGATAATTAATTATAAATATTAGTAATTTTCTGTGTAAAAAATTGTGATTAACTTTCCATTTAATGCAAAAAGAATGTAAATTAATTGTGTATACAAGATTTTTGTATTGAACAAGGGTTATAATTTTAAAAATTAATTATATGATGTAATAACTGAGTCCGAAATTTGACACGAAATTAATTTTAAAATTTAAAAATATTAAAAATTATAATTTTAAAATTAATAAATTTTTATTTAATGTGAAATTAGGGAGAGAAAAATAGGTTAAGGATAAAATTGAAAATAATTTTGAAAAAAAAAGGTGAAAATTTGGATTCATATGATATTTTTTTTAAAAAAAAATTAGAAACTAAGGATTAAAATATAATTAAAAAAAATTTTACCACGTAAGACCGACCAGTCAGCAGCCCCAACGAACCGGAGCGCGTCGCAGAATAAGGCACGCTGACTCGGTGCCACGCAGGAGGCCACACTGGCGATCCGCGCGCCCCGTGATCGGACGGTCCGGAAGCGTTCCCACGTGCGTGGACGGTCCGGATCTGTTCCCTCATCAGGCGTGATCGAACGGTCACGATTAAACGCGATGAACAGTGTAGATTCATTTTTTCTTTAAACGCGATCGAACGGTTGATATCAAACACAATGAACGACTTAAATCAATGCGAGACGGATATAAATATATTGCATCACACCGAACCCAAACCCTAGTCGCTAGCTTCCCGTCGGATAAGAAGAACCAGTTGTCGGAGAAGGGAGTCAACCGCCGCCCCCCGCTGCGCAGGAGCCACCTCCGATCGCCAAAAAAGATAAAAATTCTCCTATCCATTTGGAATTTGATTTTGAGCACCCCCATGGCCAAATTGGAGCAAAAGGAACAATGGGTGAGCCGAAAACCGTGAGCAAAGCCCGGCGGAGCCACCGCAGGCCAAACCCGAAACCTCCCCCGATGAGCCTCTTTCCATTTTCTGTTTTGTGTAATTTTTCTACCATTATGTTCACCGTTCTATTTTTTATAGGTTGACCGAAGAAAAATACCCAGCTGCGAAAGCGAGCCGGCAGAGCCGTTGCACCGAATAATTCTGCCACTGGTAGGTTTTCATTTTTTAACTTTTTTCGATCAATTAATACCCTCTAACGTGTTTTCTCGTAAGGATGAGTATAAAATCAGGTAAAACCGACCAGACCGAGGCAAACTGCTGTCGCAAGTGGTGGAGCCACCGTGCCAAAATTTTAAAATTGACAGAAAAAGATTTTAACACCGATTTTGGATTTTTGGGGGTATTTTTAGATATGTGAAGCGTGTTTTAATCTCCGCAGAAAAATTCAAGAAACCCAATGACCGCTAGTAGGCGCAGTAGAAAGTTTAGTATTTTGAATACCGATTCAGGTAAAAATCTCTTACCTTATTCCCTGTTATGGAATTGAAGCTTAATAATCGGTAATATGAAATTTTGTGTAATTTGAAAAACTTTGAGAATAATTACAAGTTACCAATGGAGCCGAAAATCGGTTAATTATTTATTTGTTGTCCTGTTTAACTGATTATTAAATTTATAGCTTTAAATACATGATGATATAGTGGAATGGTTAGATGATTCAATTGTGTTTTCTTGATATATATATATATATTGCTTGTCTTGCGTGATTTACAGTTGATTTGTGAAATTAGTAATTAATATGCAAACAGAAAATTGTTTGGTCATGTGAATTAATAAACTGTAGCCTTACTGGATATCCTGAGAGATAGTGGACGGACCAGTTATATAGGGAACCTTATCGTGAACGTTGCTTCATACCAGATGGGATATCGATGAATGATATTTTTTACACTCATACCAGACAGGGTATGGAGACGGCCCGAATCACCCTCATACCGGACAAGGTATTGAAAGATGATATTTTTGGCACTCATACCGAAGGGGGTATGGGGACGGTCGGTTTGTTGACAATGTTGAATATGGGTTCACGCGTAATAGGATATTTATATGGGTACCCAAGGATAGCAGTAGACAAATAGAAAAGAAAAGTTATCATTTTTGCTCACTTAAATATGATGTTAAAATGTTGTTTGAATTATTATCTCTAAATATCAATTTTAAAAATCTCGCAATGGTAAATATATGCAATAAATGATTTTTCTTATGATGAATGAATTTACTTAAATCAAGAGCTTCATTTGTTATTTTTATGATTTTTACCAATCTTC